AAACCAAGAGAAGAAACAAAAAATAACAAACTAAATTGTAGAATCTTCCATTTTCAATCAATTATTTTGCCATGGATTACAAAGAGGTATGTTTACTATGAGCAAGAGAAGAATTGCAAGGGAAAGAAGGGATTCAAGTCTAAAAGGCTTCTTTCCTAGTCACCCAAATCACGCCTTCAAATTGCAATCTGAACCTAATTAGTGTTTACAAGGGGTTTTGTGTCCAACTTATGTCAAAATATTGGGCTTCAAAGGTATAGGTTTAAGACTAGTGAGATGTTACATGGCCATAATAAGGAGTTAATATGAACTTTGAAGTGAAATGGTCTTAAAAGGCTATGAACAAATTACACTAAAACCCCTGGATTTTATTGATTTACCCTTGCTACCACTATCTATAAGATTAGTATAAGTAGGCATCCTGTAAGGTAAGTTTTTTGTTATCACAGCTCAAGTCATTACAATATCAATCATTTATATTCCCTTTTCTCCTTTTGAAGGCCTTCCAACATATATCATGGTCTAAATATGGATATAAAGACAACATAATGTATTACAATTATCCAAAATCTCCTCAGGGAAATATATTTTATCCTTTCCACTATATATCCGTTGGAAAAAGGAGAATCTTATGAAGAAATTATGTGTACAGTAGCAAATATAGGATTCATTACAGAGCTAATTAACAATTATTAAATAGTCAGAAGAATTGTTGACTAATATCCTAGTATAATCTGAATACAATGAGGAATCTAGAACAATATTCTAACAATTCCCTACTATTTAAAGACCATTAAGGTTTGCAACAGAACAGAGCAGAAACATGCATACCAAGTGGCTAGCTGCTCAGATGCAGAGTGACCAAGATAAACTGAGGAGAGTAGAAAATGATCCAGGGGGTGAGACACACACATTTGTTTAGAGGGAGACCGAACAGGAGTGTATGCTCCCTATTTGTTGCTTACACAGAACTTGAGCAGTGGCACAACAACAATGTGTTACTGGTAGCACTCTCCACTAAGAATACTAGCAATTTCATTAACAGGTCTTATCTCCTAAGGTGACCAAACATTAAGCAGTAAAGAAAACGCAACAAGCTTGAGGCAAGGTAAGGAAAAAGGCTTTAGAATTGACTTGACCAATGAATAAAGGCTTCAGAATCGAGGCACGCTAATGGCACTACCCTAATTAGGGCAGTCAAAGAACACTCTACTTGAGTGGTTAATATATCTATCTATCTATCTATATAGGATTGGATAGTTATTAGAATCTTGAGATTCATGATATTTGATACATTTTGACTATCTACTGATTTGTATCTTAAGATGAATCTTAATTGACTTTGTATCTTAAGAAACATGAATGAAGCTATGTAATTTTCATTCATTCACATCATTTTACTTTTTCACCAAATCTTGTGAAAAAATAAATAAAACAAATCATGTCAGCTTAAACTTTTAAAATGAAAAGGAATTTGAAAGAACACTTGTGTACTTATCTTGTTTATTATTTCACCTTTACTAGTTACTGACTCATTCAAAGCATGTACTCTATCTTGTTTTGTTTCCATTCTTCTAAAATTAAAGGAGGGATCTGGTTAATTGAGTTGAGCACTTACAAGAGCTCAAGCATCACTCATTTAACAAACAAGCCAAAATATCAACTCATTAAATTCTTAAAGAAACACAGGGGAGGGATGCAATGCTGGAAAAACCACATGGGGAATTCCATATCACCTGAGCACATGAAGTGGGAAATATGGGAGTGGATTGCAAAAACTATTTTAAATAAGAAAAATTATTATTTTAGGGGGTCAATTTGGGATTTGAATCACCAGAGATGATTGTTGGGGAATCAATTCAAAATTCATCAACTTACATAGGAAGTTTAAGTCATTTAGCATATTTGCACTGTTAGACAAAGTCTAGACTCACCAAACTAGGATATCATTTCAAAAACTGACTGGACCAATACCTGTAACTAAGGTTGTTTTGGAGGTGACATTGTTTTTCTTTCTGTTGGATTTGTGATTTCAAAGATAAAATGCCTTTCCACTACATTCTACAAACACTCTATAAGTTTCTTGACTAAAATAGCCAACTCTCACAATTACATTTATCTCTCGAATATCTTCTATATTATGTAAAAACCATACTATATCATTCTTAATGCAAATTAATAACTTCCGTTTTTGCAGTTTCATTTTTCAGTATGATGGCTGAATTTAAAATACATAAACAGACCAATGTAAATGGAAACATACATGATCAAATACAATCCTAACAACATGAAAGCAAAAATGAAATAACTTGCCTAAGTGATGGACCAGCTGATTAATAGGGAGGTAACGAGCACATGAATCTGAATCTTCATTCACAGATATAGGTAAATTTTAAATAGAAGAATATCGTTGAAAGTTGAACTAATTTATTAAAGGAAGCAAAATAAAAATGAAAAAAGTTCAAGTTAGTCTTGACCTCAGGGAAACTCCATAATATACCCCACACCAAGAACAACCTGTGAAAAAGAAAATTTGACAAAGTGCAAGATTTAGGGTTGGGTCGAGGTTAGGGTTTGATGACATAGAGGTCTGAGTTAGGGTTCGATGTTAGCTGGGTTTGCATTGGGTTTCACAGCACGATGATTTGGTTTTGGCTTGAGATCAGGGTTCGATGTCATCGGAGTTGGGTTTCGGGCTCGAGTTCGTCAAGGTGGAGGCCGGGGTTGAGGTTCAAAGTCGTTTGGGTTTCGATTGAGTGTTTGGTCACTCAGATTTGAGATTCAAGGTCACTAATCGGATTTCAATTCATCGGAGTAGAGGTCACTGGTCGGATTTCAGGTTGCCAGGTTAACATTTCAGACTGGGTTAAAGATCACTTCGAAGTTGAACATAAGGGTGGAAGATTGGGATTGGAGAGACGAGGATTGAGGTTGGAGGATTGGTGGGATTCAACAGTGGCTGATACAAGGTCAGTGTGGTTACACAAATTAGAAATTGGAAATTGTGAGCGCGAAGAAGATAAAATTTGGGAGGGCTTCGGTGGGAAGAAGATGAAATTTAGGAGGTTATCGGACTAAGGGAAATAATTAGAAACTAATTAGATGAATTTAAAAAATTAAATTAAATAATAAAATGACTGAAATAGTAACTAATTTTATGTAACCGAAAATTCGGTTACTAAACTAAAAAGTAATAATTTGGTTACTGATTCGGTTAGTGGTAGTAACTAAATTTTTCTGTCACTGATTTTGATTATTATTTGACATTTTTCTAGTAATGCTAGATGAAACATAGATCTTGTACACCACAAGATCATGAAGTCACTATATGAAACACTATCATGCAACCAATATCAACAACACTATCAAGAACAACTATCTTGATCATTTTGATAAAGAACATAATGCAACTACACCCCTTGGTCACATAGAATAGAAAGAATATTTACAGAAACAATTTGTGCGCAAAATATTATACAATAAAAATCAAAGAAGCTACCATAGCCCAACCTTTCTCACTTGAAGATTTCTTCCTCGGATGAACTTGAGAGAACAATTGATTAGCTTTTTCTTGCTTAAGAAAAATAAAAAAACAATTTAAAAGCACATGTATTGTAATTTCTCAAAAAGTGTATTATATGTTGTTGTAAAAAAAATTTAAATAAGAGTTAAATTAAAATGGTTTGTTCCTGGTTAACTAATTGAATTGATTTTTTTTTTAATTTGACTTAACATTATTTTGTAGGAAAAGAGTTAAAATAAAATGTCTTGTTACTAATTAACTAACTAAATTGAACTTTGAAAAAATTTACTTAACATTATTTATAAAATGTTTATCTAATTATGCCAATCATTTGTTCGTCTTAGTTGACCCATTGAAAAACATATCTCGAGACGAAAGAAAAATTATTACTTATAATGATGACATCCTAAGGGTATTGTGTATAAGTTGTATGTAATGAAGTCTTTTGATGACACCTGATAGTAGCACTTGATCGTAATAATTGACACTATGAACAAACTCTAAGCAACTTGTCTTACCCTTAACTTATTTAACCCTAATGACAATCGAATCCTAGTTACTTGTGCAATGAACTCATTATTAATAGTATGTTTAATGAACTCGTTTATTGTTACAACTTATCAAACTATTTTATATCTTGTAGCTCGTTTGGTTTATCTCATATCCAACTCATCTAATATCACATTTTAACATGATGATATAATACTTCATTATCATATAATACTAAGATTAAACAAAACTAGTTTCTCTTACATGAAAATATAGTTATACTAATAAAAACTTTACGACGTAGAATCCAACACAAAAAAAGCCTAAACATGCAAGTAGAGAACATAATCAATATACTAAACTTAATACCAAAAACCTATACTAACACGTATTCATCTTCTCGATCAAAATGCAACATCTACTCCAATTACGAAACTAATTGGATAGAAAGAAGATTGAGAATAATAATTTAAATAGAGACAAATTTATATATGAAGATTTAATAGTTATATTTTGTTAACTTAACTAATAAAATAATAATTCTTAATCTAATTAAACTAATTTCATTCTTATATTAATAAATTTGGTTCTTAAATTTTTTTACGACATACTAAAACATATATTTATATATTTTAATATTTAAATCATTTAATTTTTTATAATTTTATATTTATACTTTAAAATGTTTTAATTTTTTTTATCTTATTAGAACCTTTATTAGTATATTAGTTTTAAATAAAATAAGAGATATTACTTTCTCAAAAATATAAAAAAGTGAATACTATTATTTATTAAAAAAAATGAGAGAAGAATATTTATCTAAAAAATAATTAAAATTTATTTTTTTATTAAAAAATGTAAGAAATATATTTTTTTAAATTATACAAATATTATTTCAATAATATATAGAGAAAGTGAGATGAGTGTGATTTTTTACCCTATAAGTATCCCTTCGAGGGAATATATGTCAAATAAAACAAAATTGCAGGAGGCAGCATGAAAGTCAGGACATTTCAAAAAACAAGTTCATATTCAAGAAAGTGTATACCTCACATTTTGAGGATCCAATTGGGTATTTCTGAAGGAGGCATATTGGAATGAAAATGAAATGTGTTAAGTTAAAATGAAGAAAAATGTTTGATAATATTTTCAGAGGAAAAAGTAAAATGGCAATGAAGGATTCCTAATTTCTATTAGAATAATTCATAACCTCACCAAATTTTCTTTTCTATTTTTTAATAATATTTCACATGTTTCAATTATGTTTATATATATATATATATATATATATATATATATATATATATATATATATTGAGCCTCACCATATTTGTTTCATAATTTTTTTCTGTACAGTTTGTATTTGCTTTGCATATTAGTTGCTCCTTATCCATTTAAAGCTGTAAACTTTTATTCCTTAAATTGGTAACCCCAATAAAGAAATGGTATGATATTTCCTAGTTAAACTCTTGATAGAATAACACATTTAGTTTATTTCAATTATTGTGTTTCATTGTAACGTTATATTAATTTAAACTCCATACCCAAAATTCCCTAATGTTGAACATGTGCTGACAGGGTGAGTGGCTCTAAGAAAAGTTTGAGAAAACCAGTTTTGCTGTGCTTGATCCACTTAAAACAACTGCAAGGAAACACAATATTTAATACATTGTTTAGCCATTTGGTGGCCCCCTCTGGGAACAGCTATTAATTAAGATGCAAATTAATGAAACGTAACACACTCTACACACAAAAATATTTGTTTCATGCTTCTGTATTAATCAGTGATACAAGTTCTGAACATATGCATTAGTTAAACAATCATACTCTCTGCTTTCTTTTCTTGTAAAATCATCTTCTGCACATTTCAATGACAATTGGCCCTTGTTAACCAATATTCTAAGACATTAATAAATCAAGTTTCTACCAACATGTTTAAGGTGCATTAAAATTATGATAAAGAGTAGACATTCAGTTCTTAATTAGTAACCTAATAAGACTCTGATTGCGGGATTGTCTATGTTTAAATCCTAAAGTTATAACAGCATCTTTAAGAAAAGATGTCTACAGAATTGAAAATTTCCACAAAATATTTCTTATCAATAAAACTATTATTTAGTAGATTTTATTAATATACCTTTTTTAAAAATTGAAAACTGTTTGTATATAAATAATTTTATTTAATTTTAAGAAATTCACATTTGTCCTACTTTTAGTTAAAATAATATTTTTATTAATATATTGTAGTACAATGCCTTTAGTAATCTTTTGCCTCAAAGGTCAAAAAGTTCCCAGTATTTTCTTCCAAGAGAAATTAAATATTTGGATACAGATTTGTACAAATTACGAACAAAGAATGGAAGCTTTTCTTTTTTTGGGATGCGTAATTCAAATTGATTGGTTCACGTTTGTGTGTTTTTCCCTCCACTCTCACAACAAGCATGCATTATTGAGGTCAATTATTTGCTGCTACATGCAACTAATGAGACCTTCGACCAAACTTTCCACATAAAAGAAGGAACAGAAGTTAACGTGATATCAGGGAATTGATTCACTTTAATCAATTATATCTGCATCATAAGGATTCAATGGGAAATGCAGCTCAGAAGTGAAATATTTATTAATCCCAAGTTGGTACTTGTTCCTGCCACTGTCTGACTGTCATAAAAGATAGAGCTGTGCAACCTTCAAATCTTATGTGTTAGTTCTGTCATTAACAAGAACATCAAATTAGTCACTATACAAAAAATATATGCAAGAAATTAACAATATTTATGAGTGTGAATACAAAGAGTGAATCTTTAAAATTCTTAAAGGTGGAACATGTTGAAGTGAAATAGAATATTGGCAGAGAATCTAGTTAGCATTTTCAAAAAGCATGGTGATTATGGTTAAGATAGATATATCAATTAAATTTGACGGTAGATGACAGAGGAAAGGACTCAAAGGTCTCTGATAGGGCATGCGTTATCAGTTCCTCTGGATACCCTTTGTCGGTTTCTCATTTGAATCTACATGCATGCTTGTGAGTTCATCTTCTTTTCATGATCACGTAATGTTCACATTATTGGAGGTAAAGGACTTGCAGAACACGTTAAGTTCTTTAATTTCCTTGAATTAATTTCCTTGAACATCTGTCAAATACTGATCCAAACATGACTGCTTCTGGTGAAAGAGCTTGAAGGCTTTCACCATTGTATTAATGTCAGGGATGACGATTTTAATAAAGGATTTCAGCATCAAATCAGTTGCCAATTTCTTTCACAGTACAAACAAAACTAGAAAGGAATCTCAATTAGTACTTGAAGTTCGGAGGTAATATAGTAATCGATATAAATATTGACTATATGAGAATTGTACAATCCCATTTTTTAGACACATTATAAACATAACAAGTATCTAATAGTCATCATGCGTGTCAATAAAATTCTTAACTCAATATAGTTAATATAATTAAAAATATTATATCAACATATCACATCATTAAGAATTAAATTAAAAATAATAATATATGGAATAGCAAATATATTATCATAATATAAAGTTTTTCTTAAATAACAAAGTATTTTTTTTTACAAACAAAGATAAAAAAATATATTCAATATCACTACATTTAATTATCTTATAATAACTGATAAATTTGATTATAAATAAATGTTTCAACTTATCATCCTTTTCGCGAGTATGTTATATGTTATTTCTTATATAGTGAAGACTTTTCTTAAATCTTTACATTTTTATTTTCACGAAACCAACCCCGGATTTTACAAACAAAGTTGTTTTAAATTGAATCCAAAGATCTAAAAAAACACTCAATAGTTTAAATGCAATAAATAAACTTATGAATAAATATTCCCCACGCAAATAAAAAGTGTATTTGGGTCTTATACTATCTTTATAATAGTTTGCTTTTCTCTTGACTTTTGGCTCTTGTGAGTTTGTAATTCGTTGTCAAAATTCACATAATTGCTCAAACTATTTTTCTCTTGAATTCTTGGTCGCATATAACTTTTGAATGTATCCTTGTGCATGTATATTAAGGATGTTGAGGATTTTATGTTCCAAGCACCTTTACTTTGATGATGTGAGCGATGATAAACTTAGTTTAGGTTAATCATAGTTTTGTGTTGTAAATCCTTGTAATAAAAATGTTGCGAGGTTTGTTATCTTTGATTTGCAAAAACTTTATGTACTGTTTTAATGAATTAAAATAATTTTAAATTTGTTAAAACAACTAGATAAAATAATGTGCTATCTCATTCACAAAATTATGCAAACTATTTTCAATTATTTTTAAATCAATTAACAATCAATCAAGTGTCGGAAAAACATTCTTATAACTATTCTACGTAATTAACGGCATCAAATCAAAGATTGAGAGCCACACATTGATATCACCTCAACTTTTCTTGCTCATAGCTTGTGTTGTAACTTTTAAAGTGATTTTGTTCTATTTTCTTCTTCTTTTGTTCATGGCGATCAAGGTAGGTAATTGTAAAGGATATCACAAGTGTAATGGTTATATATAGCTTTTAGAAGATATGATATTTAGGCCGTACTACACATAAACAAATTACCAAAAACAAAACGTATTTAGGATTTCATTTGACATAGGTTCAATTTACTACACTCAATTGATTGTTAGCAACAAATTATTAAACACATTCCATGTATCAACAATTTATACATAAAAGTAGGGAATATTTTCAGATTGAACCGAGTTACGAACAAAACAAAAAATAAATAAATTATGAATGGATTGAATGGAATAAATGAGTTTACTTCGATTAAGAGGTCAATTATCACCTATTGAATGGATTCTAAATTTATTAATATAGCACACAAAATTCATACTATAAATAACTCCTTGAATTAGGTTTAGGATTTAGTCCATTGGTTTTTTAAATCCTAACAATGGTCAAATTTCATCAATTAAGAAAATAAATGTAAGTAATTCATAATTTAATCTTGAATTGATCGAGAAATTGTTGTAAAAAGTTATTTGTAGGATGTTGAAGTTTGGACAAGTCAAAAATAATAAAAAAGTTATTAAACTATTACATTATAACTAACTTGTATAGAATATTTCAAGGACATTATTATAGGAATATACTCATTACCATATATTATTTTTTCTAAAAATTGTAAATAATAATAAATAGGGGTGAATGAAAAAGTGAAAAAAATAAATTGATGCAAAATAATAAAAATTAAAACCAATTTGCAATAGAATATTAATAACAATTAAAATTTAAATTAAAACAGGATTTAAATAATTGAAATTTATAAAATTAAAATAAATATTTTTTAATTAAAATTGCAAGAATAAAATTAATTTAAAATAAAATTGTGCAATAATTAAATTTAAAATTTTTAAAAACGATAACTTTAAAACTAAATTGAGAATTAAAATTGGAAAAAGGGATGAATTGAAAATAAAAATTAAGCAAGTATTGGAATAAAAAAATTCTAAACAATTAAATAGTAAAATTAAAGTGAACACTAGATGAACAAAGTAAATAGAACAATATAAACTGAAAAATTCAACCAAAATTACAAATTAAATAAAAAAGAACAAACCGAAAGTACAAGTAGTAGTAGATGAACTCGCCAAACTAAAAATTGAGAGTAGGAAAAGAAGATAAGGACGAGACAAAACAACAGTTCTCACATCGAACAGGAGATTGTGATTGTATTCTCGTCAGACCTCTACTTATAAGGACTGAAAAAGAAAAATGAAGTCTAAAATTGATTAAAATAAAATTAATTACTTTCCAAATTAAAAATTGCACAACTAGATTGTTGTAATGAGAAATTTCTGAGACTAATTGGAGGAAATAATCGACTTCTTTCCTATTTTGCGTGATCCATCACTAATTTGCATTTAATTTTTTATTCTCGATGACCTTTAATTCAGCTAAATTGGATTCTCACACCGGTTAATTTGTTTGATTCAAGATTTTCATTTGTAACGTTCTGCAAGTAGGTTGCACAAGCAAACTTGGGCTTCCAAGAAGAAGAATGAAACTCGACTACATCAATTTGGGTCTTTATTTTCATCAATTTGGCTCATCTCAAATTATTTTTCTAGTACAAAAGAAGAAAAACAAATGTATTATGAATGTATGCATGTATATTATTTTTTATGCTAAAATTATGAAAAATACATTAAATTAAGAAAAATTGAATTATGACATGTTAAATGCATGGCAAGGTTATCAAACTCGAGAGTGTACATAAACTCGTGGGAGGTCTGTATACTCGACTCGTAAACTCGTAAGAGTCTACTTCATATGAAAAATACTAATTTAACAAAAAATATGATAGTATCAATTTCAAATTACTAAAATAAATAAGTTCATACAATAATACACTAATAAAATAACAAAAAATAAGTTTTGGACATTTTTAATTTCAATATTTATATCTAAAAAAAAATCAATTGATTATGCCTAGCAAAATAATCAGAATTAAAAAATAATTTTTTTTTTTCTAAATCCCTAAATCTATTTGAAAATCCTAAAATCTCAAATCCCTTAATCCTTTAATCTAACCTGCGAGAGGAGTGACTGGTGGCTAACCTGCGAAAGGGCTAGCGAGAAAGGAGGGCAAAGAGCAACGGTTGGGGTGAGACATGCGACCACCGGGAAAGACGCGTGATGCAACCATCGCGTAACAAGAGGGAATAGATGGACAACCAGAGGAAAGAAACTAAGGGAGCATTATGACGCGACCCCCGACGACGACGAGCAACAGTGAACAGTGAGAAAGAAAGAGGAATGTAAGATCTGAACCTGCGAAAAGAAATAAGGAGTGCGGGAGAGAAGATTTAAGTGTCTCTTCTCTTTCAAACTCGGTGACTCGCCTCTGACTCGTGAGTTTACTCCAAGTTCACCGAGTTTGATCCGAGTCTACTCTAAAACGAGTCTACTCGTTATTGGTTACATGACTCGTTAACTCGTTCGAGTCAGCGAGTTGATTCGTGAGTTTGATAACCATGATGCATGATTTATGAAGAAAATAGTTAGCTTAGAAAATACTCTTAAATCAATAAATAAAAAGTAAAATGATATACATCAAATACTCCACACTTTTGCTCTTTTGTACTTCTGAGCATAAATTAAAAGAAAGAAAAGAAAAGAATGCATGGATACAATGCAAAGATGGATACTGTTATAAACGTTAATGACATCCTACAAACTACAATAGTCAAGAAAAATTTCAGCAACAAAAAATGAGAAAATAAAAAAGGATCAAGATCATAATTTACAAAGTATTATCATGACCAAGTACTCTTTAAGGGTTTCAAACTCATTTAAAGGGAATATCCTCTCGTGGTAAAGTGTTTTCTCTAATATCTTAAGTGTTTATGTTGTAAATTTCACTCATCATCATATCATGACATCATCCTTTACCATAGACTTCAAAGATCTCTAAATTATGTTATTGTGAGATTCGACATGTGTTAACTATATTGCATTAATTTAATAACTTATTTATTATTTTGGATCAGTATACCAATGTGAAAGAGAATCACACTTGAGGGGGAGATGTTGGGAATTCAAGTGAGTTTGAAGTCCCACATTAGGTAGAAATGTGAAAGTTGAGTAACTTATAAGTGAGAAAGACTCATAACCTATTGCCTTAAGGTTTTGGGTTGAGAGTGATGTCATATTCTCTTATATGGTTGACTCATGACCTATTTGTGAGAATCTCCCTACTGTTTGCCCCCTCAGAAATACCTAACAACTTTCACCCCTTTTCATGTGAGGTCATCACTAGATACTCATGGTTAAAAAATGTTTCCGCTTGAGGGGGAGGTATACCAATGTGAGAAAAAATGTTGAGAATTCAAGGGTGAGTTTGAAGTCCCACCTTAGGTAGAAATGGGAAAGTTGAGTGACTTATAAATGAGAAAGATCCATAACCTATTGCCTTAAGGTTTTGGGTTGAGAGTGATGTTATATTTTCTTATATGGTTGGCTCATGATCCATTTGTGAGAATCTCCCTGCTGTTTGCCCCCTCGGAAATACCTAATAGTGGTATTAGAGCCGATGATTCATTCGGTGATCGGCTCAGTTGAGTATAGTAGGTGAAAGGTCCTTGTGTTGAAAGTCTTCTTGACAAGAGTTTCAGACAAGCGAATCTCATTAAGTTGAACGACGGTACAAGTGAGGTCATCACTAGATACTCATGACTAACGACGGTACACATGAGGTCATCACTAGATACTCATGCCTAAAAAATGCTTCTACTCGAGGGGAAAATATATCAATGTGAAAGGAAATCACACTTGAAGGGGAGATGTTGAGAATTCAAGTGTGAGTTTGAAGTCCCACATTAGATAAAAATGAGAAAGTTGAGTAATTTATAAATGAGAAATACCTATAATTTATTGTCTTAAGGTTTTGAGTTGAGAGTGATGTCATATTCTCTTATATGATTGACTCATAATCCATTTGTGATAATCTTTTTACTGTTTGTTTGTCCCTTCGGAAATGCCTAACACTAACAACTTCAGTTTCCAATTAACATTTAGTGTTGTGTCACCGACTTTTGTATTTTAACCAAGTGAAATATCTAGAAAATTATAAGCAATAAAATCTCCTATAATTTCTACTTTTGGTGTAATCTTGTTTTCAGTTCTTTAAACCAGCGAAAATAGTTTTATGTTGCTCTCATTAGTCTAAATTTGAGAGGCCAATAATGAAAGAACTCGATAAGTGTAGTAGTATATGGGTTAGGTAAATAAAGCTTAGGCTGAAAACTCCAATTGGGAGAGATTTTATAACTTATCAATCTTTTCCAATAGTTTTTTCATGTAGTATGTGATATCCCAAGGAATACAAGTCATATCCATCAGGTACAAGAAAATGGCTAAAAGTTTCACGGAGGTGTAGAAAGATATATAATATATTGGTCTAATTTATCATTATTGATGGACACCTCAATATTTTTTATAATTAAATAATATATTAATGTTGAACAAAAATTACTAAATTTTGGAAAATTGAAGTATTAAATTTTATAAAAACAAGAACCCACATTCACAAAATTACAAGAGTTCAAAGTAGATTTTTAGATATATTATCATACATGTTATTGTTTTGTCCATCGCCTACATGATTTATTATAGTGTAACGAGACTTTGCTTTAGACTAATTGAATTGGACTGAGAGATAGGTAAAGTCAAACAAATAGTTATTTTACTGAAAATATATATATATATATATATATATATATATATATATATATATATATATATATATATATATATATATAATCTGAATAGAAAGAGACGTTATGACGTGCCAGTGGAGTATCTTATGTATAATATTAAATTGAGTTATAAAGTAGAAGATCAATTTGAACACGTAAATAAAAGATATTTCCCATGCTTATATTGCAAATCTGCATCAGACGAAAGAGACCTGTGTGTAAAATTAAGAGATGTACGCAGGCGCAATACATAAAAGGATTTAGTCCATTTGATCATGGACAGTAACCACTAAGACCATAACTACGTACTCAAAGGTACACACGTGTAGGCCACTCCACAATATTTTTACTTTTGTAATATGCTTGTCACCTTTATTCCTTGTACCGTTACAACAGTGGCGTTATTATATGCTTAAATCACACCAGTATACAAGCCCTATTTTCATCTGTCATTAAGCCTTTGGAAATGGTTGATAAGAAATTGATTTTGGGAGGAATAATGTCATCCCAGATCTTACTATCTTCAACATAACTTGTTTATAAAGTACGCAATGTATATTGATTTATTACAAATTTACACTTGTGTAGTAATCTACAAACTTGGCAAAACATACACACATAATAAGCTAACCAACCTTTTGTGATCTGCGACTTCTGCATAAGACTGCAAAATCCAGTTATTTTTTAGCTTTGGCACCAAGATTTCATATTTGACATAAACGTTAACATGGTCAGCATTCTTCTGGAATACTGCCACCACCACCTAAGATGGAGTTGATATAATGTACAGACTCCAACTGACATACATTTATTGAGGTTTTTCTAAGAAGTTGAAAATACAGGCACTAGTTTACAGAGCCACATTTCTCTCTAATTTGTCCCTTTATTCCTGTAAGTACTCCTGCATTACTAAGCCTCACCATGGATTCGGCAAAATCATTATAGAAGGAAAAACGATTGTTGCTGTAATAATAAACCATGGCAGCAGTTCTTCGATCCTTAGTTAGTGCTTGGTCAGATTGTAGAAGCCCTGTGTTGTATATGAGATTTTTATAATACTCATTGTCGAACACCAAGGAACTTGTAGCATCAAGAGGTGCTAGATTGCTGTTTGAGGTGTCTTCATTTGGACACATGGTTTGCAATTTTGTGAGAAGTGAAAAGTCAAGCACGGGATCAGGTCTTCCAGAGCCTTGAAAGTCAAAAAGTCTCCCTTTGAAGGTGAAACATTGGGCAAAACCAATTGTATGTCCTCCTGATTATGGAAATAAACACACCAAACTATTCATGTCAAACTATATAGAGCAATGATTGATATTCTGACTAACAACTAGAGCCACATGGATTTCATACATTATTGTATTGAATTGATCATTTAACTATATATATCATGTCATGTACTAAACAAGCTTCAAATATATGGTGAAAGTCGAAGTTAACTTCTATCACTTCCTAAAATGAGGATGGTAATTCTGAATCATGTTAGAGAAAATGTAAGAACCTGAAAGGGCTACAACATCCCTCAAGTCAAGACCCTTGGAGTAAAACTTTGCAGTGATGTTTTCCAGAGGCTCAATTGGTGAGGGAATTTGTTCCTCAGCTGCCTCTTTACTGGTTGTTATTGCATCTCTTCGGCCTAATGCAACAGGCCAAGAAGGCCCTCCAACCTAAACCCCAAAAGCATGGGGGAAGAAACAGCAACAAGGTTGGTTACATCAAATAGGTTGTTAAATTAAGGATTTTTGTTCAATAATATAGACGAAAGTGTGGGTTTTACCATATCAATAGCTTCCCTAGCTGCTAATGCTAGTATATCAGCGCAGGAGACTGTTGATGGACAGAATCTTTCAACTTGTTCTTTTATGTTATCAATGACTTCAAACCCCCGAAGTGAATTATGATTAGGAAGAGCATTCTTTTCACCCGTGAAATATGGTGTATCATCAAGAAGCACAGAAGCATCACAGCCCTTTAACAAGCAATATTCAACTCAACTAATCACATCCTCATACAGATATATCTTATTATAATCATATAAATTATTTATATCATTATTTTCTTTAAAACAAAGGAAGTGTGAACCTAGCTATAGTGTTGTTAAAACAAATAGATATAGGAACTAGGAAGGTAGCAGCAACTAGCAAGCGCTTCAGTAGTGGGAATATCTTGGGTGGATGAGGACTAATTATAACACATGCAACAGTGTCAATCATTTAAAGCATGTTTCTACTCTAACATCAAATTACAAACCATTTATGAAACTTCCTCAAGCAACACTAATAATCACTAATTAGTGTGGTGTATTATGATTTCAAGTTTGACAGAAAGAACATACAAAGGCATGCTAAAGCACACAAGTATTTACATTTACTATGCAATCGTGAAAGTGCAACCGAAGGAGGGATGCGGCCATTCTGTTGTCATCTTTCAAGGCTGACCAAACACCATATCTAACAATCATGGGCAGATTGGGGCATGATCTATCATAGAAATTGATGTCAAGCTGGTTTCTACCAAAGGGAAACATATGAACAAGAGGAACGAAGGTAACAAGCAAGAAGAAGAAGAAAGTGATGTCAAGTCTGCAACTCATGGCTTCACAATGGTTTCTAGATAGCTTGATAACTTCAATTTCTTATGACATACATGCAGTGTGATAGGTTATTTATATGCAAACAAACACAAAATTAATGGGCAGAAAATAAGAGTTTTTTTTTTTTTTTATTTCTTGGAATTGTTATTTAACTTATGAGTCAGCATTGATGAATATTAGAGGTAACCGGTTTCAAAATTCCAAAATCTTTGGTTGACGTAAAAGCCATAGTGCATAGGATATGGATAAATTTATTAATGTGCATGCACGATGGAATGTCTGGCAGAGTTCATTGGTGCAACGAAGAAATGGGACTACCATTATTGGTATTACTGAAATTTTAATAGTCACGCGCCGCCGGAATTTCTAGTCAGCATCGTCCATGGGCATAACCTTGATTTTCACAATTATTTTTTCTACGTTGTACTCGTAGAAAAAGAGTCTTTTCTCTTATTCTCTCTGTCGAGGTCTTTTTTTTTATTTTATTTTTTTCCTTTTTAATCGAATTGATGATGTGTAAAAGTACATAAAAAATAATAGAAAAAAATAAAAGGTATAAATCATGGTAAGCTAAACTCGTTACTACAAAATGGAAACAATACTAAGCAAAATGTTTGTAAAAAGGTCTAGCTCATATGACATTAGGTTGCTTGAAAATTCGAAGAATCAACGCCTTGTTACTTTCCTTGAAAATTCGAAGAATCATATATTAAGTTGCTTATAGGAATTTTAAGAAATAAAATATATTAATTTAACTTGTTTAATTCTTAGAGTCGTTTAAAATAAGTTAAAATTCTACAAGACTTATATCAAAATAATATATTTTATTGAAGAACTCTTTTTTAAACAATTTTCATAATACATGATGTTAGATATCTGTCTACACAAGTTGTATTAGATAGGGATTAGTTAAATCCATCTTCTAATCCAATTAAAAAATTTTAGTTACATTCCGTTAGATTTATATATTTTTTTTACCAATTCCAACTTAATCAATCTTTAATCAAGTTGAATTAATTGAGTCATAGAATTTAAAATTTATTTTTTAATTTTAAAATATATTTTTTAGATATTTTAGAATAACTGTTTTTTAAAAGTAGATTATATTATATTATTATTTAAATAAATAATTTTAAAAATAGATATTTACTTACTATAATAATAAAATAAAATAAATAATAATTATATTGTTATTAAAATTATTTATTAATTTTGATCCAATAGATTAGATTGGATTTTAGATTAACATACAAAACCCTTCACTTAACAATAGGAGATTGGTTTTGGTAAAGTAAATCCCTAACCCAATCTACATGGGTTAGTAAACCAAATTGTATGACCGGGTTACCTAATCCAATAAACACATCTCTAATGAGAAATTTTATTTTTAACTTATACATATAAATTAATTTTAATTTATGAAAAACTTATTTTATTTTCATTTCATTTTGTAGAAATCTTTGTAAAAAAACTCGTGGAATCATATTTTAGTTTGGGTTATTTCTTCATCTCGTTCAATGGATTCTTATGTTAAATACACTTATCTCCCACACACTCTATTTCTCATATTACTATTAAATAAGATGGGTGTAAACACCAAAAAATAATATATAAAAAAAATAACAAAAAAAATAAAGATAAAAACAGTCACCTTATTGCCACCCTAAGCTTTAGCCACCCTACTCCAGTCAGCCACCCTACTTACAACCTCCCTACTCCAGCTAGTTCCCTACAGGTTACAAAAAAGTAGGAACACAATCCTGCAATTCAAGCTCTATATAAATTAATCTTTGAAGTAATGATGGATGTTGACCATTAATTTTGGAGAGACTAAATAATATATTATTAACAAATAATAAATAAATATAAAATGGTGAAGAATATAAAAGGGTGAGAGAATAAAATTGTAAATGTATAAATAAATATATTAAATAATCATTAAGTTTGAAGGGACAAAATCATAAATTATATAAGAGTTATGAGTGATGAGATGATAAAATTATAAATATACAAGAAAATATATTAAATGATCATTAAGTTTGGGGGGACCAAAATCATAAATTACATGGGAGTTACAAAACTTTGGGTAGGCCACGACCCCCCTCAGCTCCCAAGAAGAACTGCCACTGCTTGGAAGAACACAAAAGGGGGAGAACGAAAAAAAAAAGGAAAAAACAGATCATCACACACCCACCATCAGAAAACCCTCAGTCAATATAACCACAACAATATCTCAGTTAAGACAACAATCAACAAAGACAACATAGGCAACCAACATTCAATAAGTTCTCGTTCCCAATTTAAATATATTGCACATATTTTATAACGATTTATAAAATTATAACAAAAATCAACAAAAAACCTCACTTACCATTACCACAACGAGCTCCACCGCCTCATCGGTGGCCACCACCAAAACCATCATGCACCACCCTCATCCTCACCGGAGGAACCTATTTCTCAGTCAATACATGTTTTCCCTTACCTAACCATTCTTCCACCACCATTAGCCACTGCAACCTCACCCTAAAACCTAGTCGTCAACTACCGCAACCCCTGTCCCTCATTGCCAAGCCATCGTGAACTGCCACCGTAGTCACCTCCACTAAGTTGTCTCCCCAAAACTACGAAGAAATCAAAATCGGTCCCAATCTCCATTGTAGTCACCGCAAACGAACCCTAGCCACCGTATAGTCGTCGCATCCGCGCGACGCATCTTACCGGCCCCACGCCTCCACCAGTACCCCTAAATCTTCACCGCCAACCCTAGCCACCGTGTGGTCATCGCATCCGCGACACACCTTCCCGACCCCGTTCCTCCATCAATACCCCTAAATCTCCACCGCTAACGATAGCCACCGTGTGGTCGTCGCATCCGCGTGGCGCACCTTCCCGGCCCCACGCCTCCACCAGTACCCTTAAATCTCCACCGCTAAATTGCCCCCCCCCCCACTGGAAACCACCGTAGCACCTCCATCTCCCTCACTTGAACCCTAGTCGTGCGTGATTCTTTGTCGCGCCTTACCCCGGTAGCCCTAGCCCCTCCGCGACTCTGATCTCCTGCGGCTCCCATCACTTGCGGCTCCCATCTCCAGCAGTTCCATTAGGTTTAGGTTTAGGTTAAGAGGAAATGGGTCGAGAGATGGAACGTGGACTCAAAAACGCGTGACCCAAATTTGAAAGGGGTGAAAATAACAGAAAAGGTTTCAAATAGCAATATGAAAATTTTTTATGAGTTATTGGGCTTAATATTTTTTTCTTTTCTATTTTAAACTGAACAACATAATAAAATAAATTACAAAAACAAAAATTATTATTATCTTATTATTATTATTATCTTAATTTTATTATTATTCACTACAAGAAAAAACACATTTAGCCACCGAAATTAGCGACCAAATTTTTTCGGTCACAATTAGCTGACCGATTTAGCGATCGATTTAATTTTGGTCACAATTAGCAACCGATTTAATTTGGTCGCAATTAGCAACCAATTTAGCGACCACTTTAATTCGGTCGCAATTAGCTAATCGATTTAGCGACCAAATTAATTCGGTCGCAATTTAGCGACCGAATTAGCCACCAAAATATGATTTGGTTTCACTTTTTTATTTAGCGACCAATATTTTGCGTCGCAAAATTTCAGTCGCTAAATTGGTGTCTATTCCATACTAAAATAAAAAAATCATTTAGCGATCGATTTAGCGACCGAATTACAAATTGAAATAGTGACCGAACTAAAATCGATCGCTAATGAATATTATTTTTTTATTATATTTAAATTTATTTTTTTATAAATATACTTTAATTGTTTTAGTATATTTTTTACAATTTATTTTTTAAAAGTAATTTATTTTTTAAAAATAATTTAATTTTTAAAATATACTTTAAAAATAAACTTTGATCTCAATATTAACAAAATGAATTGTAATAAATCAAATTTATTAAAAATTTAAATTGTAATAAATTAAGACTAGAGTGATATTAACTATTCAATACATTGTTTAAGAAAAGTTTAATAACAAATATTCTTTAATTTATTTTTCAATTGAAAATTTCAATTGAAATTAATTTATATTTTAAAAATTTATATTAAAAAAATTAAACACATCAAATTATCACATTTTAATTCCTCATTAACTTAATTAATTAAAAAAATACAATTTTAATCAAATTATTACAATTTTATTTTATAATACTTTATTTTTAATCTAATTTTTAAATTTATTGCTTTATTATTATTAATTACTTAATCATGATTGTTGTCATATAATTGATATACCAAAAAAAATTATATCAATATACATTAGATAATAAATATATTATTTAATTAAACTATTTATAAAAATATATTTATCTTTAGTTAAAATATTTTTTAGTTTAAGTATACTAATTAATATTTTTTATTTTTAACATAATTAATAAAAAAGATTAAAATTTTAAAATTAATCTATTTTATAAATACTAAAAATAAACCATATTTAAATAAATGAAAAATATATTTAAATTTATATTCAACATAGTTAAGGTTGTGCCTTTTTAAAATTTATATTCAACATATATTTAAATTTATATTAAAAATAGTTAATATAAATTAAGGTTGTGCCTTTATAAAATTTTAACTTTTTTATATATTGGATTTTCATTAAAAAATTTCTAAAATTGCATCAGAAAATAGAGATTTAATTATACTTTTAATAAATTTAAGATAATACTAGTTTTTATTTTTATTTTTAAATATTTATTTTAATTTTTTTAAAAGAGAGAAACTATAATTTTAGTTTCTAAATACTAAATTTAAAGAATTAAATTTATTATTATTTAATATTTTAATTTTAGTATTAAAAATCTAAATTATATTTTATTAAATTAAAATAATTACAATATATTTTTCTACTTTGAGAATTAAAAATATAATTAAACTAAAACTGAAAATATTATGATACATTTTTGAACTCTTTTTTATAATATTTTTATCATTATTATATTTTTGGATTAAT